CAGGAAGATATGTATATGTAGTGCGAAGCGTGGTGTTTGAGTTGAATGAATACCGTACGATTGGACATAGTACGAGAAACCAACAGAGTAAAGTTGTAAGAGAAGGTTGTAGTGTGGTGGTGAATTGCGGTTGAATGAGCCGAAAGGGGTGCGGAGGGAGGGAGGAGGGGATGTTACCAATTGAATCGGAATTCACTTTAATCAAGTAGCCATACAGTTTGTGCTTGTACATTCAAATGAAATGCAAGAATTGAGATATGACAAAGTTAAAAGTATACAGATCATGATGATGATACAATTAATCAAATCAGATTTCAATTAGAACACAAGCTCGTCATCATAAAGTAGAAGAAGAAACCAGAGATTGATGATATGACTAAATCAAAAGAGCTTACAAGATAGGAGCATGTATCAGATCAAATTGGCAGCTTGATTGTCTCGTGTGTTGAATAAGAATGAATGAATTCATCAAACAAGCCTTTTACAAAGGATCTCACTCGACTCGATTAAATTTCATTCAAGAGTCGAAATCTGTCTGAGGAATGGATGGTTCAAGTTCAAGGGTAAGGTTAAAGCCGAAGCACGGACAGAGCCACCAGTGGGATTTACAACCAAACTCTGGTTTGTTGATGACGGTTTAGCGAATGGATAGAATAGATGAGATCTAGTAGAACCGAGCTAGAAGATTTAAATTGCAAAGGAAAAGTAAGACTGAGAGTGATCGGATAGTACGAAGATTAAAAGGAGAAGTGTGTGAATGGTTTTTTGAGACTTGATGATCAAACCAATTCTTGGATCACTGCGCTTGTCTAAATCTGGGGTGATGATGACTGATAGATTGATGGATTTGATCGGTTGTTTGCTCTTTTGGATGATGCACTACGCCCTCAATGGTCTATAGTTATGAGAGCTCTGATTGATTGATTGATTGAGTGTGATCTGATGAGGTTGAATGAAAGACTGAATGCTACTTATTAACTTTCAGGAGCATCTCCATGTATGTATCAATCCTGATTATCAGAATGGCTCATCCATCTTAGATTCACCTCCTCCTCAGCTTGATTAAAACAGTCTAGCATCCAGTCTTACATTCTCTTCATGAAGTCTTGACGACAATCATGTTGTTTCACTTATTAATCAGCTCACCTCACCCATATCAGCACTTCATCAAACATCACTGACATCAAGTGCGTATCAAAGGGGTTGATCTTCGGGCGTGAAAAAAAAAATGAACGAAAAAAAAACCTGTATTCATCTGTCACTAAGAGGGGAAAAAAACGCTTGACGTGTTGAGCTGTATGATTTACACCAAAGACTCGCCAAATTGAATATTTTAAACAGTTGAATCCGCCGGATCGAGAAGGACATGAAAAAAAAAATCTCAACAGTCGAGAACAGATTGTCAGAACCCAGTGTATACATTTGTGTTTAGGCGAACCTACGTACAGAATCTGTCATACATACGTAAAAATATACTTTCAAGGATCAAGTTAAAAATAAGATTAAACTCAAGATTTTTTAAACATCAAAGGTTTTTGTTTGATTGATATGTACAGCCAAGGATCCACAAGCCTACATAAGTTCTTATCAAAGTTACTCCTGTCGAACATCAACTGACACTTGCTCGGCTTTTTTTTTCCATCTTCAATTGACACTTGATTCACAGAGTTTTAAGTTTTGTACATACATTAAAATTTCTTAAGGTTATGTCAAAAAGCACAGTCGGAGATCCACACTTTTCTCTCCCCCTCTCACGTGTTTGTAGCTTGGTTTATATATTTGCCAAGGTCGGGTTTGAAATACATACAGCTTTTGAATGTCATCATCTTGATCTTTTAGTAATTTCGGACTCAATCGAGCTCGTTTGTGTATCTGATTCTGTACAGTTTAAGATCCTCGCGGGAAGAGAAGGGAAGGATATGACGTGGAGCACCCATCAATGGCACTCTGGTGGGCACAACCACCGGTTTTGGAAGGGTGTGGGCAGGACCAACCCTGATTCATCCATCACGTCCACAGCGTTACGTGTTGACATATGTGTAGCATATAGCGTACCATCTGATTCAATTTAAGGGTTGTAGCGAAAAGATCTCAAGTCATTCCCCATATTGAAGTCAAATATCACCCCTTAATTATTACCCAGCATGTTTGAGCAAATGGAGAATTCTGACTGCTTGAACAAACAAATGAACCAATGAAGCTGTGCTTGTGCCACTGCCACCTGACCCCAAGTTCAACATATATTAAAAATCAATTCAACACGAAGAAGAAGAAGAAGAAAAAAAACTAAACAAGAACTAAAAGTTAAATGATGAAATTTAAATTGATGATGATAGGTAATGGATTTTACAACTACACGCACGGCAATCAGATTCAAAGGAGTTTCAAGGAATGTGAATCGAATTTGAAACTAAAATATATAAAAAAAGTGTTTCCGATAAACTTCTTCGACATACATAAAGGGTACTCAAAGTAAGTATGTACGTGTACATACTTTTTGCTATATACTTTTTTTGGCGGGGAAGGCGAGGCCAAAAGTATATTTTTTTTCTTTGTCCCCGCCAAAAAAAGTATGTAGCGAAAAGTATGTAGCGCTACATACTTTGCTTTGAGTACCCTTATACTTATGATCACGAGCGCCGAGTATTTACATAAGTTGTAACCAAAACATGAAACAAGGAGGTCAAGGAGAAAAGAAAAATAAGCCGTTGACAACTTTCAGATTTGATTTCTTTAAATCCGAATTCCTCATCTCATTTCTAAGATCTCAATAAATCTACAATCTTGTTTTTTTTACAAACTCTTTCTTTCTTCCTTCATATGATTATACGGAAATTGAATGTCATCTTAAAAGATATATGTGTTGTAAATTCCGATCAAAATTCGAATTTCTGTTGGTCAACATCTCACTTCTTTCTCCTTAAGTGTGAATTGGTTTTTTGATTTTCTGTGGATAATATGGGTCGGTTTATCTATTATGAAGATTCTTAGATAAATACATCAATTATTGATGATTTAAGCTTAGATATCCTTACACTACGATCAAAAAAAACTTTATTTTGCCCCAAGATCTTTGATAGGTTTTTTGATGACAAGCAATTTTCGAAAAAAAAAAGCTTGGTTAATTTTTTAACCCGTAAAAAAAATTGGTGCGGGGGGGTTTTAGTGAAAGTTTTTGGAAGATCGTATATTCACATACAAGCAAATTGATCGCTCATCGCTCAAAACTTGATGGGATCTTTTTCTTTGACAAGTGAAGAAGATTGATTGGAATATGAGTATTGAGCTTAAAGAGTTCCTTTACCGTTCTTTCATCTCTGATGATTTCCATCCACTTAAAGACGCTAAGATTTCTTTTATTTTGACATCTTGATCCATCAAAGTATATAAAGTATAGATCACCAGATGATGAACCAGTTTGGGTTTCTGTTTATGAAGTCTACATTTTTGAATTTGTTAATAGTTCAGCAACCATTGTTTGAAGATACATATGCAAGCTTCTTTAATTCTGATTAGTAAAAGACTTCTGAACCCAGCACAGGAATATCGAGTTGGAAGCAATTATCGGGTGACTGTAAGTAAGCGATCGAACAAAACCTCGATCATTAAGCCAACGTCATCATCACGCCCATAGTCAGAAACACCTTGTATATAACTCTGTCACCACGAATATGTAATGTGTGATTATGCAATTTGGATCGTATCAGGCGAGCTCAAGTGTTTGAGTACAGTACAACAACCAGGATTCAACGTACAAGATTTGAAGTTTGATTCGAACCGTCTCAGATTCTTTATTTGTAAAAGTATTTGGAGATACATGGGTTGATGAGTTTAGTTATCATGGTTTACCTTTTGAGATAAGTTAACCCTTGTTGAGCTCATTATCTAAAGAAAATATGAAACGTGGGGCGATCGGAACAAAGGCAGAGATCGGGTCCAAGGTGTGTACATATTACTATTGCTATCATGGTCCATGAAAATCAAGTTGATGGATTTCGAAAAGATTCAAGTCGTATCCCTTTACCTTTACGTTGATGGGGGGAAGATCCGAGAGGAACAAGATTTGATAAATCTTGATTCATCCTTTGATTTCAAAGTTTTACACATCTTCTCACTTTGATATTTAAGCTGATCAGATTTTTTTTTCTTTGATTTGGATCGATAAGCAAGCAAATGATCTGTTTAAGATTCAAGTTAATGATCGACATACAATTTTTTTTCTATTTTCAATCACAGTCAGATTCAAGAATTATAGTTCGCTTCAGATCAAACCTCAAGGTTAAGTGTGTAAAACCCATTCAACCGATTTTTTTCTACCTTTGTTTATCAAAAAAACTCACTTTGAATCAGTTTTATTTACACTTATTTTTCAAACTTTTAACAGCAGATTGTTCAAGGATACACTTTCACTTTTGTTTATGTTGAACCTTTTTTTCTAATCACTTTACACACAATCTAGAATTTCAAAACTTTAAAATCAATAAAAGATTACGTCAGCATATATTTTTGGAGTATAAGGTTGAATGGAACGGATTCAGAAAATCAAGATAAGGATTTATATAAGATCGATCTTCTGATGATTTTTATGTAACCAGCTCGGCTTTCGTCTTGCACCGGTATGTACGTCAGACTGATGCGAACCCGAGGATATGTGTTTAGATACATCGTTCGTAGATCTTTTGCTTTTTATGGTTCTTGATGATAAGTTTTTCAATTTAGAGTATGAAAATATCAAGTGAGTGAGATTAATCAAAAGATTCGTGATATTGGTTGAAATCTAATTAAATCTTTGCTGAGGTGAGTCGTGAGATTGGAGAACCAAGACGTGATGAGTGATGAGAATTGATTGATGAATGATTGATAAATCTCAGCCAGAAAGAATGAGTACTATGATGCATATGCTGTGACGAGGCGTGAAGAAGTTTAAAGATTCGAATCGATTCGATCACAGCCTGTCTCGGAGAAGAGCCGAATGGATTGAATCAATGAATTGAATTGATTACTAAGTTTAAAGATTAGATCAATCATCAATCCTTTAAAAGCTGCAAGATCACCTTCTCTTTCTAACTCACACACTCTTGCTTGGGGATCGGGTCGCGAGCGGTGAAGTTTATAGGAGATATCCACACTCTGAACTTACATCTGATTTTGAATAAGATTCATATTTTATCATCTTCATCACCCTCTTTGTGTTCTTTTTGTTTCTTTGGGTTCGATTCACTGTTCTTTTCAAATTTTCATGCATTATCGTTGGAGATGAAGACAACTTGTCAGATTCTGCATTCTCTTCAAACCAACGCCTTGGTGCCACTGCCAAATCACCTGTCTCCATTTCTATGTGTACATAATTGGTTCACCTTGTTTATCGATGTGTTGACTCCTAAAATCACTTTGTACCCTTTAACCCCCCGATCTAGTCCATACATTGGTTCATTTACAGTCGTTTTCAAAAAGCTTGCCGCTAATTCACCGCCAAATTGCTCGAGTTTTGCGGGCAAATTTCGGCAAGCTTTTTGAAAACGACTGTAAGACGTTTGAATGAGGATCTCTCTTCAAAATGTCACGATAAATAAATTTGCGTATAAGGATTTAGCTTGGCGTACATGATGGAGGATTTTTTCCCAGAAATCGTGTTGGAATACAAAGATATGTGAAACGATTTGATCGTAAATTGAACAAATCAAAAAGTTTTTAAAGTCAACTTTGACTTGTATAAAAAAGGAATTCGTTTCCGAATTCATGGATCAAAAGTCAAAGGGAATCCGAATTTTGAGGGACTCTAATTAAATGCTTCACAATTCTTTACATACATTATCATCATCATCAGACGAATGATAAAAAACTTCAAGATGAGAATTCCAAAAAAAAATCTTTGCGTATCAGTGTCACTCAATCTTGAACATCAATCTCTTGGATCCAGGATAACGTCATGTTTCGCCTTGGCAGTCAAAATTGTAAAAAGCAAGACGAAGAAAAAACCGTCGATCATCCAATGCTTAAACTTGAGGATTTTTCAAAGAAAGAAAAGTGATTTGTGCACTAATTTCTTAAGTTTGATCACCAAATGTTTTGTGTTTAAAAGTTCTCTAAAGCTTGATTCATAAACAGGTGATTTTGTTGATTTGTAAATCTATCAAAATGAACAATCATCCAACATTTTCTCAGTCAAGTTTGATCAATGAACCCTTGATGTTTTTACATAACCTTGACACTTTTTCATTAAAATCTGTGGAGGGTAAAACAGTAGATCGTGTTGTAAGAAGCTCAAGCTAAGTTCAACTATAAGCCCCTCGTGAATCTAACCTTGAAGCTTTGGCTATCAGTTTGCTCTACAACTCGAGTTAAAGGAACATGCGGTAAGCGATACTTGAGAAAGTGTTTGCCGGCTCTCAACATGTTCTGGTCGTATAGTCCTTTCTGGTGTAATAAAATTTGGTAGGTCAATTATCTTGTGTGGTATGCTCAAAACGCAAAGGTGTTCAGTCCAGTCCAGAGCATGGACTTAGACTCAGAGCATTCCCGAAAAAAATCCTCAAATGACATTGTAATAATTTCACAAGATTGAAAGGAATTTTGACTTTGAAAATTTCATAGGCAATATACAAAAGATCTTCATCATGGAGGATTACTTGAAAGTATCTGAGGTGTCATTTAAGATTCTGAAAGATGGTCAGAGGAATCTTTGAAGGCGTGTTCATGGACTGATTTGATTCATTTGATTTCAAGTCTTGGGTTAATCACGGTATTAGGTTAAGGATATTTGATCCTTGTGAATGATTGGTATGAGTTGGAGTTGATTTGGGACTGGAATTCGTTCAGGTGATCAAGTTCTTTACTCAAGTGTATTTTAAAGTGGCAAGTCTTTGATAGAGTAAAACGAGGCCCCGTGAACCGTGTGTGGTTAAAAGAAGGCTCGGTCAGGGTCAGCTCAAGTCGGGTAGCTGACTCCTGGAAGATGTACAACTTTCACTTTGAACAATTCAAGAATCAAACCAACATAATCCTCAAGTACCCCTTGTTCGATTCATTCATCAAATCCAATCCAACATTCACCATGTCCCTCACCTACCTAATCCCACAACTTTGGCCTTCTCGAGTTTGTAGACTATGCAAATCACCCACCAATCTTTCAAAATCGATCCGAAACCCTCTCCGGATCGGTCTTCCATACTCAATCAAGAAATCCACAAACCTTTACTCATCTTTTTCAACTATCAATACATCTTATCAAGTCACACCTTCATCGGATTCTTTGATTAAAGCTTCTTCAATTGGAACACTCGATTCTAAAAAAGATCAAATTGATTTTGCTACAATCCTTTCACGACCGAATACAACAGATGAAGATCGTGATGTGATGTCATCTACAAAAATTGAAGATGAAGGTACACGGAAGATTTCTTCGATTAGGATCACAGAGGCAGCAGCTCGAGTAAGCCTTTTTTTTGATCAGCTAAACAAGATATCTGATTGACTTCAGATGAAGAAAAAAATCCCCAGAGTAGAGTGAATTGAAGAATAGGAGTTATATGAAAAAAAATGATAGAAAAATATCCAACAAATTTAGTGGATGGTATACTCCGAAAACCCATCCAACAAATTTAGTGGACAGTCTACTTCTATAGATCTTCACTCTACTCTGAATATTTCTTATATCTTGAAGAAGAAGACTTTTATTTTTGAGATTTTCAAATCTGACTTAGATTTGATTTGATTGGATTTTTTTAGCGAATTCGATATATAAAAGAACTGGATCGAAACCCATCCGTTTTATTACGATTAGCTGTTGAAAGTGGTGGGTGTCATGGATTTCAATACAAGATGAATTTTACAGATCTGATTGAATCTGATGATTAGTGAGTTAATTTATTTTTGATTGAATAATAGAAAAAAATCTTTTGTTACTGATCATAGATGGTTTGACTTATCAATCATTTGATTTTCTTTACAAATCTAGTGTTTTTAGTATAGGAAACGAATCATTAGGTTTAGTAGCCATCGATTCAGGTTCACTAGAATTGATGAATGGATCTACACTTGATTTTGCTACTGAACTGATCGGTAGTAGTTTTCGAATTCAAGATAATCCAAATGCTGCTGGACCTGGATGTGGATGTGGAGTTAGTTGGGAATTGAAGTGAAATCGATCGTTGAAGCCTGAGTTGGTAAATTATATACCTACGTTCATTTGATATATATAATCATTCATGGGATTCTTGTCTCAAAGATCTTGATCAAGCTCGTTTAGATAGGAATGGAAATGTTCAATTATCCTTTGACTTTTACCTTTAAATGCACTTATTATTGGATGTTAGTATAAGTTAAAAGAAATGATGATATTCATGTAGTTTTGTATACATTATTTGTTGGTGTGATTTTGTTTTTGTTAGATGGGATGTATTTTTTTTTTCTTCTTTGCGACTTTAGATATACACAACAGAGCCACGACCCGCATTGGGGAGTCTAAGCGTGTGTTAAAAGATTGATGTTTATGAAGTTACAAGTGAAGATCATTGTGGGATGGCAGGATGGCTATGGTCAGTTTGTATCAATTGTATAAATGAATGAATGGTTCTTTTTTGTATTTTGTATCAAAAGAGTTCTTGATCTATCAATAGGGGAGTTCAAGTCAAAAATATTTTGACTTAAACCCGATTTTATGTTGAGCTCGCTCGACATAATTTATAGTTTTATTTATAAGTCAAGCGAGCTCCTCTGGAGGAGCTCGCTCGGTTTATAAATTTTAAGTCGATGCTTATAATTATAAGCAAGTTTCTTTTTTTTCGAAACGTCTTTTTTTTTGGATAACGTCTTTTTTTTGGCCGGAAAAATAAATCCAAAAAAAAAACAAGACGTTGTATGGACTACAGTTGACTCCCTCGAAATCCATACCTTTTTATGGACCCCAATTGCTATCTAACTTAACTAAGTCCCTCCTCCTCGCAGGCGTCCTTCGGAGCCTGCGGAGGAGGGACTTACGACTTATCGAGTTGTTTCAGCCTGAGTAGATTTGGATTTGGCAGGGGCCATCTCCAATCCTCATTTTCACTGTGTCACACAAAATGACTCCTCACTTTCATCCGGGCAGACTATAGAACAAAGTCTTGCCCATCTTTTGGCCTCTTCAGATTCCTCTCAAGAGGTTTCAAATCAAAAAGTCCAAAGGACCTCAAAAATCATTAAAATCGTGATTTTATTTTTATTTTTTTATTTTTTTGCTGCGAGAACAGTACATGTGCATCTGTATATATGTTAAATCAAGTTTTGGACTCTCTCTCCTGACCCATACA